TGAACTCTCTGGCCGCGTATGGCTGGCAACTCACCTGTGTGCTGCCAACTCCTGTCATCAAGACAACGAGGTAACAATAACCATCATTACTGTTACTGGACACTTGCACTGTTCCCCATAAGCTCTTCCTCGCGTAACTTATTGAATCCCTGTGAGTCGGGTGCTGTTACATCAGTTCTCCACCTGGGAAACGGCAGGGTCAGGATTTCAGAGTCTTAACTATCCCCCCACCCGGAGCACCCTGCTTCCCACGTGGGGAGCCTCGGCCAGTGAGCCATTGCTGCCTAGCCTGTCACCTGGGCTGAGGGACCCAGGGCTCTCAGATGCAAAAGAAACTCAGCATCTGCTGTGTGCCCCATGCTGGGCTAGGCAGGCACGTTGCTGGCACGCATGCAAAGTCTCATCTAGTCCTCAAAAAATCCTGTGAGGTGAGGTGGGATTTTTTGGGTTGTATTTAACTGATTTTATAGCTGAGGAAAGTGTGGCCGGGGAGGTTGAAGTGCTAGCCCAAGGTCATGGAGCTGGTCAGTAGCCCCACCAAGGGGACGTGAGGCCCTGGAGTCTCAGCCCCGGCTGTGGCCCTCCCTAAGATTTCACGTTCATGGTCGTTTGTCCACCCTCAGCTCTGCCTGCCGTCCCTTGAGCCCATGGGCTTATCCTAGTCTTCTCAACCCTAAAAGCCCTTCCATCTGTCTTTTGGGTTTGCTATCAAGCTGGTCCTTCTAACTACCTGTGGGGTGGTAAGCATAGATGTGGTTCCCATTTTACAGATGAAGAAACTGAGGCTCAGAGAGGCTCCATCACATACCCAAGGCCACACAGCCAGCAAGTGGCAGAACCCGCGACTAGACCCTCAGTCTACAACGGGCCACCTCTTTGCTGACCTCTGGGGGGTGCCCCCTCCCATGGCCCTCAGCCCCACACTACCTGAGTCCTGCTGCGTGCTCACGCCCGCAGGTGATGGACGGCCTGAGGCAAGCCTAGTGACCTGGGGGACAGCAGGTGGTGCAGCCCCAGAGCACAGACAGAGGCGGGAGTGTGGGCGCCCATGACTGCCTCTCCTGGGACCTCATCACGTCCCCCAACCCCGGGGTCTGTGCAGCTGTAGGAGCCAGTCTGCAGCCGCCCTTGGGCCCTGCGCCACTGGGAGATTTCCGTATTGCTTCTTGGCCAAGATTTCTGTGGGCACAGGGTGGTGCCGTGGAGGGGAAGGAACCCCGGATTTGTGACCCAGAGCTTGAACCCAAGTCCTGAGTCGGCCGATTGCTGTCTACCTTGGTCAAGTCCACATAGCTTCTTTGAGCCAGTTTCCTAGTCCGTGCAGCTAAGAATGATGCCTGCCTTCCGTTCTAGAGGACAAGAGCCCCCCTGAGAATGTATTTGAACGTGAAGCCCCCGCTGGCTCTGTGCTCGCAGCCCGGAGGGTAGGGACGGTCTCTCTGTCTCAAGCAGTCCCACTTTCTAAATAAGCCTCCATGATCCTCCACCTTCCTGGCCTTAAATGACCCTTGCGGTGGAGTGGAGAGTGCGTGGGACCGGGCAGAATCCCCGCTGTGTGACCCCCCGGCTTGCTCCTTGACCAAGCTGAGCTGTCCTGTCCGGTCCCGTTGGTGGAAGTAGGGGTCCCATTGTTTGGAGCGCCGGGTGCAATCGCCCAGCCCGGCCGGGGCACAAAATAGAAAATGCTAGTGTCCTCTGCCTCCTTTCCGTCCAGCACCCCATGTAGTGACACATCACCTCAGCAGAGAAGACGTTTGCCAAACAGAGGTTTAAGAAAGTGATCCGAAGGCGCGGGGTTCGCGGTGGCCAGAAAACAATGATCTCCATCACAATATTTCTAGCACCTTTAAAGGCAGCTCCTTGAGAGCCTGCCTTCCTGGGAGGAAGGCGCACCCCCTGTGCCATAAAAATGAATAGTGCCCCCAGCCCGTTCGTTAATGCCAGTTCCCACTGCTCACAAGGGTGACTCAGGGTGGTGGCCGGGACCCGTGTGCAGCCAGGCCCTCTGCCCAAGCTCCTGTAATCGCTCAGGTCCTCACTGGCCGCCCATCCCAGGCCAACCAGGTCCCTCCTCGGCCTCATTCCCAAAGACAGACTTGGAAGAGGCCTCCACCCTCCGATATTCACTGAGGCCACTTTGTCATCATTTGGCCAAGATGGTAGCTGTCATTTCACATCACGGGAAAGGGGGTTTTCAGCCAGGAAGCTGCCTTTCAAGGATGCACACAAAGCTTTAGTTGGGCCCCTGAGGTAGCAAGCAAGGGTGGGTGGCCTGGGGGTGGGAAGGTGAGGGGCTTCTTGACCTCCGACCTCTCACTCTCGGGCGGCCACCTTCCTTCCCAGGGGCAGCCGGCCTGGATGGAGTTCAGGACGGCGGCCTCCGTGTGAGGTGCGGGGCTCCTCTAGGTATAAAGGACTCATTCTCAGCTCTGCCTGTGTTACAGGGAGGGGAAAGTATCCACCAAGCAGATTGTCTTTCTTCAGAGACCGTGTCTACCTCAGAAAATCAAGAAGAAGGAATCAAAGGTGAGTGACCTTGGCTGCTTTGTTTTGCTTGCTCTGTTTTGCTCACCAGAGCCCGGGGACACCTGAGCCCCTCGGCGACATGAGTCACATCTGGGGCAGGTGAGGGCGCCGGAGGGCCTTGTCGCCGGTCTCCTCCTGCGAGGATGCTCAGGCCACCAGCATTCACGAGGCTGAAGGGGGAGTGGGAAGGCAGCCGCAGTCAGACTCGGGCTGGGACAGCTGAGCTCACACCCAGCTTCTCTGTATCTCTTAATCTCGTTACAAGCTGGCTGACGCCCTGCCCTGCCCGTGGGTCCCTTGGGACATCAGAAGTTTGGGGAGCTTGGCAGAGAGAACCTGCCAGACCACCTTCCCCACAGGCCCCGCCCTGCAGGTCTGAGCGGCAGTGGCTGGTACAGACAGAGGGCATCTCCCCCGTGGAGTGAGTCCTCAGGCCAGGCTGTCCTGGGATGGCCAGGGGCCTTCCCCCTCTCCCTGGACGTCACGTGAACTGTCCCAGAAACACAGTGGCACTGAGAGACGTGGCCGTTCTCAGAGATTTTCCCATGTTTCCTGAGACGGAGGCCAGGTCCTCCCCTTGTGTGACATGGTTCCGATGCCTCACGCCCCCGTGTTCACGGTCACTCGGGAGGAGACTCAAGGGAACCTGCCAAGCCCCTGGAGCCAGCTGGCTGCCCCTGTGGCGGACAGGGCCACGCTGTGGGGCAGAGCCCACCGGACCCGCCCGTCCCCTCGCCGGGCACCATCCCCGAGCTCCCCACCCGCGGTTCCTCGGGTTCTTGGGACACGAAGCCCGGACAGCAGCGCCAAGCAAGTGAACAGATTGGAGCAGCCCCTCTGCAGCCAGCAAACCCGAGGGGGGCCGCTGGTGGGAGGAACGCCAAGGACGTAGCTCCGGAGCCAGCTGGGCTGGAGTGCAGAGGAAGGGCTCTCCAAGCTTGGAGATGCCAGTGTGGCAGGTGATAGCAGCAGAGGACCAGCAGGCAGCCACCGAAGCCACCACTGCCCACCAGGAGCAGCCAGCCGCCAGCTGGAAGACGGATGGCCCCGGGCTGCCACCAGCCACAGCGTGGCCTGGGCTGTGGAGCTGCGTGCATTCACGCAGTGACATTCTAGCAGCACCGCCGAGGTCTCCCACCAGACGCCAGGCAAAGCCCAGCTTTTGCCCTGACGAGGAGGGCGTGGTGCTGCCTTTTCCGGCCAGCGCGTCCTGGTTGTGGTGCCAGCAGATCCCAAAGGACAGACAGGCGGCTTGATCCTGGTGAAGGCTGCGCATCTCACCCAGGGGACAAGCCAGTGGAAACCCGAGGGCAGGGAGATGTTAGGGGTAGAGCTTTAAGGCTGCTGTAAGAAAGTAGAACAGCGTACCTCAGGGGAAATCCAGGGAGGTGGGAGTCAGCCTTTTCTGGTTGGTAAGAGACGTCCACGCCCAGTGAGCTGCACGAACCGGGGCAGACCTGCTCATTCCAGGGCTTGGGGTGACAAGCACTGTTCTCTGTGTGACCTGGGGAGGCCACCTCACTGTTACAGCCCCAGATTGGGGGGCTGTAGCATCCCATCACCCCCTTCATCCACTCCTTGCTCAGCTGATGGGTCATCGTCCTGCTCCCAGGAGACGGTGCCCCCGCCCCGTGGCCATGGCTCCATCCTCACCGTGCCCTAGCCCCCCACGGCACTGACACTGTTCGTGCCCTCTGTCCCTCAAAGCACCGTTTTCTCTCGGCTGTCCCACCACTCTCGCCTAGTTTCCCACCTAGTTCCTCATTTCTAGCCCCGTTTCTCCCCATTTTCTCTCACCTCTTCCTTAGAAAATCTCATCCAACCGCAGAGTGAGAAAATCTCACTCACCATCTCTGTGTCAACGAGTCTTACCTCTGCATGTTCAGCCCTGGCTTCTCCCTTGGGACCCCAGCTCCACCTGCCCTGCGGCTACTCGTGACCTTGCCCTTTCCCGCACCGGCCGTCACCCCACCCCCCGACCTTAGAGGAACGGCGCTTCCATGGCCCAGAGGCTCCCACACACCTAGGGGTTGCCCTTGGTGCTTCCATCTCCTTCCCACCATATTCAGTCTGTCCTTAAGGCACATCTGTTTTAGGTCCTAGACACTCTGGAACACCCTCTTCTTTCCATCACCACCTGCCTGGACTACTCCTCCGATCTCCTGAGGACAGGTCTCCCCTTCAGATATGTTCTCCACTCAGAGCCACAGTGAACTTTCAAAAAAAGTAAATTGAATCGTGTCACTCCACTGCTTGAAATGGTTCTAAAGCTTTGGGTTTTTCTTAAGATAACGATGGAAGCCTGTACGGTGGTCCACACGGCCCTGTGGGATCTGGCCCCCATCTTCTGCATTCCGGCCACTCTGGCCTTCATGCGCGTCCATGCCCCTCGCTGCCACAGGGCCTTTGCCTGGGCAGTTCCTCTGCCCCAGATGTTCTCTTCCTTTGTATCTTTTGGGGATGGTGTTCTCTCCATTTAGACCAAGCCAGGCTCCTCTGTGATTCACTGGGAAGAGCCACGTTCCTCTCCTCTCCGTTTCTAATTATCTGTGATCAATCCTCCACCAATAGAATCAGACGTTCATTCTGTGAGAACAGACCCTTTTTGTCCTCACTGTTGTATGCTCAGTGCCTGGCTTTTAGTTAGTACTCAACAAATACTTGCTGGATCAATGAGTGAATAATCAAACTTCTGAGCCTGGGACATGCACAGTATGTCTAGCACTGAAATTTCAGACAAGAGATTGCAAGATTCAAACATCAAGGATGCAGCATATTTAGTCCGCTTTAATCAGCCAAGTGGACAAAAGCCTCCAGTCAAGACTTTTCACCGTTTGAAAGAAACCTCTCTGTGTACCTCTGAGTGTGGCTTTCAAAGCAAATATTAACCTCCTTGGAAGGTAACAGGTGATTTCTACGACACGGGAGAAGTCTGCCTTCCCACTAAATTACTTGAGGTGGAGGCAGATACGGATGGTTTCTTAATGTGTGAATGAAATCACCAGCCCTGCTGACGTGGAGCTCTGGACACACATGCTGCTGTGAAGCGGAGGGCTTTTCCTTTTCTGCACGCACTTCTGGCACGGACAGCTAAGTCGGGGTTTCTCTCAGTTTAGGTACCGGCAGTACACTCACGTGCCACACACACACCCGGCTCAGGAAGGCCCATCCACCCTGCTCAACTTGCAGCTGCTGGTTGGGTTCAGAGACTCGCCCTGGAACTGCTCAGGATCTGATGCATCCCTCAGGCTGTGGATGCTACAGTTCTCCCCTCAGAGCCTGCACACGGAAAGCTCTACCGCCTCGGATCTGAAATACGGTCGACCCTTGAACAGCGTGGAGGTTAATCCGAGTGTAATTTGTAGCGGGCCCTCCGTATCCAAGGTTCACTGACCGAACAGCACTGTAGTTTTTACTCTTGCCAACCATCCGCGTGTAAGTGGACCTGCATCGTCCAAGGGCCAAGTGTAGTTTTGGTTGTTCCGTAAAGACTGTGACTGTGTGACTTTGGGCAAGTTACTTAACCCCTCTGAACCTCTACGTGCTCAGCGTAATAATGGTGCTAACAACGCCGAATGAGAGTACTGCTTTGGGGATTCAGGGAAATGGGAAAGCTTGTCACAGTGTGAGACACTCAGAACATTTAGCTTTTAGGTTATATAGACCCTGAGTTTGGGCCACTGCTACTTCCCTGCTTCATGAGAATTCTCCCTTCAAAAGGAGAGGAGGGAAGGAGACTCCAGCCAGAGCCTCCAGGTGACCTGGCTGCAGCACTGGGACAGCTGTGGTGGCTTGGGGACCCCGGGCAGCTTGGGGGGTCAGTGACATCACCACTCCCCATCTGAGGACACAGAAAACGGTGCAGTCCTCGAAGACATTTGGCTTGGCAGATTTTTCTGGGATGACTCCGAAGGACAGAAACACATTGGCTGGAGTAGTTCCCATCCAGCTCGGCGTAGACAGTCCCAAATCTTTCTCTGCCCAGCAGCCCAGGCAGGGTCCTGGAGAAAGTGGCTGGGGTGCCCGCCACAGGCCCTTTCCAGTCTGTGTCCTTCTGTCGTATTATATCAGGAGATCAATGCGGTGTGACGCTCTACAGGAAACTGGATATGGCCAGGCACCCGAGGAACCATGAGTCTGTTGTTTATTTATAGCAAGAGCAGCCTCTAAGAGGACATCGGGTTTGCATTAGAAAATAGCCAGGGCCCAGGATGGAGTCTGGCACAGGTAGAATGGGCACAGCTATACACCGCCCACCCGCAGAGGGTGCTGTGCCCATCCACTATGGTGTGGGTTGGCCCCCGGGGTGTGCACCCAGACCTGGGGGCAGGGGCAGCTCTTTTGGAGATGAATAACTTGCCCAAAGACAGACAGCTAACGAATGCCAGAACCGAGGTTTGAACCGGGGTCTTAGCCACCACACTATGTGTAATGCTTTGGTGTCTTAGCATTTAGGGCCTTTCAGCCGAAGCAATCTCCCCAGTTTTTTGGCCAAAAGTAAAACTTCCTTTAGCTTCTCTGAGAGTTGACTGCCTCTCAGATCGCTATATATAGGCCAGTTTGACTGGCCTTTTTCTAAGAACATGCAAAATGCAGAGGGTCTGTTTGGAGACATCCATTAAAAAAAAAAAAAAAAGGCCCTTCCATTTGGGCTGGAATTAAAATGCAGCAGCTTCTGCATGATTGCATGGTACCCAAGAGCTGGTACCCAAAAGCCATGCAGGGCTGGCACTGGAGGCTGCAGCATCTGTGCTGAGGTCAGAGGTCCTGGTTCTGCACTGGTGCTTAGGGGGCCCCAAGATGCCTGCTTGGCAGTGTCTGCTGAAGTGGGTGCCTTTGGATTGGGGTCTGAGGCACCACTTCACCTGCAGAGGGGGGTCCATTGTTGCAAACTCATGGCTTGGGTGGAAGAAACTCAAACTACCCCCAGAAGGAAGTCCATCAGCCATCGTACAAGAGAACCCCCAAAAAGGAGTGTCCTGGGGAAACCCAGCCAACGCTGCAGGTGAACTCATTTGGGATTTGCAGGGAGGGCGGGTGGAGGAAGACAGGATAAATGTTAAATCCTAACCTCAGCACGCACTTCCCTCTTTTTCCTCTTCTTTGATGGAATAGTCACATTTACCAGTCTTGTCCAAAAGGGGCTCAACACATGAACCGCAGGTTGTGTTCAGCCTCGGAGCCCTGAGTGTGTTTAGGCAGATGTGTCTTATTTGAGGAAGTAGACTTCTACCACCGAAAACGCCACAAAGTTGGCAGATTTTTAAGAATTTACATAGCACATTTCTGCTTCTTCCTAGCAAAGTACTCAGCTTTATCTATGCATGGTAAAGCCTTAGGAAATGGTTTTCCACTGATGGTGCAACTGCCCTCCTGGGCTCCCCTCCTAGCTTCGCCAGAAGTCATTCGAATGGACGGCTCCCTTTATTTTTCTTTCAGTCACAGAATGGCTTAGATTTAAGTCCATATTTGGTGAAACCAGTGTGCTGCGACTCAAGTGGAAAGAAATGAAACGAAAGAAAGAAGTGGAATTTCAAGCGCAACCGCGTGTCCCTGGGGCCCGGAGCTGCACCTGCAGGGTGGCTGAGGCCCTTGCCCGGGGTCCAGGCCCCTGATTCTCTTCCCAGCAAGACCCGTCTCTCCCCGGGGCCTCCTGACTCCAGTCCTCCCCCACCCAGCACTCTCGGGGCTTCGCTCTTGTTCTCCGTGCCTCTCACAGCTGGGCCTGGCACGTCCCCAGGATCCTGTGGCTGGCGTCACCCCAGGTGTGCAGCACGCAGCTCCCGGCCTCTGACTCTGAGCACCGGGGACTGGAGCCCCAGGATGGCAGGGCTGAGGGGCCTTTACTCAGGAAGACTGAGGGACCCCTTATGTTTGGGGAGTGGAAAAAAGCCACAGTTCTCGCTGCGTTGTTACCCAGGAGTGAATCCGTCTTTTGTAAACACAGGGACCCATTTCTCCGAGTCTTCCTTTACTACCCTTCACGTTTCTGTGTCTGCTGCAGCTCATTCGCCCAGATTTATTCCAAGCACACAGGCTCCCAAACTGTCTTCCTCCAGAGCAGCTCCTGCTGTCAGCAGACTCAGCAGGACTTTGAATTTTCCCCCCTCTTTTCTTCCTCAAATTAATTTCTCTTTCTGGAGATCAGCCAGACCTGATGTGTGGATGCACCAGTAACTCCTCACTAAGCCCCAAGCTGTGTTTTGACTCTTAAAATTTCAGGACCGGCTCCCCTGAAACAGGGAGCTTGGCTAGCTTGGCCGGGCTCTGCCGTCCTTCCATTTATCCATCTCACAAAAGGTTTTGAGCACCTTCTCTGTGCCAGGCTCCATGCTGTATCCCAGGGATGCAGAGGTGCAGAGGACAGATGGCATCCCTGACCTTCTGGACTCACATCTTGTGTCAGTAATGGTAACAGCAGACATACTGGTATATTGTGTGCTGGGCACAGTGCTAAGCCTGCTCTGTGGATTATTGCATCATTGAATCGAAATAAATACCCTCTAAGGCAGAGTTTGGCAAACTACGGCTCTCAGGCCAAATCCGGCCCACTGCCTGTTTTTGTAGATAAAGCTTTATTGGAACACAGTCATGCCCGTTTGCGCACGTGTTACCCATGACTGCTTCTGTGCGATGGCAGAGTTGAATGGCTGCAACAGAGAACATAAGGCTGCAAAGCCTAAACTAGTTATTACCTGCCTCTGTACAGAAAAAGTTATTGACCCTGATTTAAGTTAGAGTTACTCCCCCTATTGTATAGATGAGAACACAGGCCAGTTGGGGCTGGGGGGGCGGTGGACTCTTCACGTGGGCGGTCTCCCTCCACGGCTTTGATGTGACCCCGTCCTTGCCCAGCTCTGTTGCTGACTGTGCGCTTGATCCTCTCTGAGCTCCGTAGACTTCCCTGTCCCACAGGGAAATGCGGGTGGGGCTCCCTGGGAAGCAGCATCTGAGATGGATTTAGATGCAGTTTTAGGGGGAGTGCCCTTGGGAATAACACCTGTTGGGGAAGGAGGGCGCAGGAGTGGGCAGAGGGAGATGTTGGGCTGTGATTGTAGCTCTGGAGCAGGGGTGGTCTTTTAGAGTTGCCCAGAGTTGGAAACAGGAGGATGGGCCGTTGTCCATGCCTAGACCAGTCATTGGTCGTAGCTTGCCCCCAGAAGGGAGTGAGACCTTTGGGGAGGTGGCCGGACTCAGAGAGGAGCTTGGCTGGGGGCTGTCAGCCTGCCCATCCTACAGGGGGACCTGAGCACCCGGGTTCAGTGCCCTTCTGGCTGGGGTGATCTGATGAGGTGGTGACCAGTGCGTGGTATCTGTAGCTGCTCAGAGTGGAAGGGAGTGGCCGGAGCCCTGGCACTTAGGAAGAACAGGCCCGTGTCCCCTCACCCATCCTGGTCCTCCAAACGATAGGATTTCAGCACCTTCTTTCCCACGCCTTTGGTATGGGGCCAGCTGCAAGAAATACCCTTCATGCCCTACAAAACCCTGGAATCCACATCTAAAATACACGCCATGGCAGGATCGGCAGGCTCTGGGTGGATGTGACGTTTGGGCTGTGATTCGGTTTGGTGCCAGGAATGCCCTGCTCCGGGAATACCGGGCATTGCATCTTGCTGCCAGAAGTGATGTGGGCGTGAATGCAAACAAACATCCAGGGGACGCTGTAGATTCACAGAGGATGCATGCCCTGCTCCATACCGGGCATTGCATCTTGCTGCCAGAAGTGATGTGGGCGTGAATGCAAACAAACATCCAGGGGACGCTGTAGATTCACAGAGGATGCATGTATTTATCCCCATCGTCTCTGATTTCTAGTTTCAGTGGCGATTCTCCCGAGATGAAATGCACAACAGGCAGATGAGGAAATCCAGAGGTAAACTCTGTGCCAGAGAAAAGCAGCAAGCAGAGGAAAATGAGAGGAATCTAGAAGACCAGTTTCCCAAAGCCGGAGACATGGAAAACCGTGTGCCGGGGCTGCAGCAGGAGGACTGGGCCCCCGCGGAGGTGAAGGTCCCCGTGCAGGCGGATGTCCCGGGAGAAAAGCTGTGTCCTGACGGCCGGCTCTGGGTGGAGGCTGGGGCCATGCAGAATGGTCCCTTTGGCCACAGCCCCGCCCCGGCAGGGGGCTGCATTGGGCACCCCAGTCCTGATCCTAGAGAGGATGCCGGGGAGGGGGATGCTGAGGCGGTGGCTGCAGAGCCCGCAGCAGCAGAGGACAACTGAGGCTCAGCAGGTGGTGCTGAGGCGTGAAGAGCTGGCAGACCTGGGGCACAGTGCCAGCTGGGCTGGGGGCTGATGTGCCCTGGTGTCACGTGTTACCCTTCGGCTTGGCTTGACCTCTCCTTGCGAGCTTACCTGAGCCCTCCGAGGAGGAGCTGGCTCCCTGACAGTGTTGGTTTCTGCACATCCATTTGAAATGTGTTGTAAGGCCCTGGTGTTAGAACACAAGAGGACAGGTTACTTCCAGACATGGGGCCTGGAGGCCCAGCCCCAGCTCCACACCACTCCTCCAGGAAGGGGCTGGACCATCCAGTGCCTGTGCCCACCCCCACCCAGAACCTCCAGGGGGCCTTCGGGCCAAATCCCCGGGCCTCCCTGTCTACAAGTCAAGGCTGAGTTGTTCATCCCCACACCCCGAGATGGCCATGTCCAGCCCGTGCTGTCTGCTGCAGCTACTTGGTGATTTTAACAACCCCTGGTGCCCAGTCGGGCTGCCTTTCTCCATCTAACCCCCCCGACCTTGCTGCTTTGGCAAAGAAAATAACATTGGGAGGGGAGGTGCCCCACCTCCTGGCTTTTCTCCAAGTGTTCCCATAGATACTGGTCATCTGAAAATGAAGAGGTAATTCTGTGTGTGTACCCACTCTTGCAGAATGTCCAAGAAAGTATTCTGTGTTAGTGTTAATGCCAAAAAATTTTTTAAAGATTTTGTATTCAGCACATCACACAAACACACGTTCTTTCTGTCATTTCAAGGCAAACCGACTGGCGGCGAGCCCTTGTTACGTGCTATTTTAATCATGTGTCATTAGCCAAGTCACTTCCCATGTATGCTATGATGTGTTTATATCGTCCAGAATGTGGCTTTAAGTAGATGCAGCTGGCAAACCTTGGAGAGTGTCAACGGTCTTATGACCAACATCCTGTCTCTTCTCTTTCTTATTTAGTTACTTAAAGCAATAAATCATCTATGAGTTTAGTGCACTGTGAGTATTGAGTATTTATCATGTTGCAGCGACAAGTCCTATAGCCTCGTGTCCCCTATTCATGCTTCCTAAGTTTCTAACTCCTGGCAGCAGCTGGATGACTGGAGTAGAGATCGAAGCTTCTGTGGAAGCAGTGGAGCCAGCTGAGCATGCTCTGCTTTCTCATCATTTGTAGAAAGAAGACAAAAAGCGGGATTCAGGTGCCACCAGGTAAGTCAGGGCACGGCCATCTCCCATCACCCCGGGGTCGTGGAGACAAGTACCTTTTAAAAACAAATAAGAAGCCCCACGTCAATTTCTAAGCATGTCTCCAAGCTTTTAAGTAAATTATTTAATGAGGTAAGTCTTTTACCTGCTTGCAAATTTGCTAAAATAAAACACATTTTAATATATTTTTATAGGGCAGAATTGAAAACCCTTACACAGCCACATTGTACAGTCGTTTTCCTTTTGATTTTTGAGCAAACTTCACACCCAAGCCCCAGAGCTTACAGAAAGGCTGAAGGCTCTGTTCGAAGAGAAGATAGGGGTTTTTTTTTCCAGTTATACATGTATATGTATTTTTCAGATTCTTTTTCCTTATAGATTATTACAAAATATTGAGTAGTTACCTGTACTATACAGTAGGAACTCGTTGGTTATCTATTTTATACATAGTAGTGTGTATATGTTAATCCCAAACTCCTAATTGATCCCTCCCTTCCTCCTTCCCCTTCAGTAGCCCTAAATTTGTTTTCTACGTGGGTCTACTTCTGCTTTGTATATAAGTTTATTTGTATCATTTTTAAAAAGATTCCACATATAAGCGGTATCATATGATATTTGTTTTTCTCTATCTGACCTACCTCATTTAGTATGATAATCTCTAGGTCCATCCATGTTGCTGAAAATGGCATTATTTTATTCTTTTTTATGGTTGAGTAGTATTCCATTGTATATATGTACCATATCTTCTTGATCATTCATCTGTCAGTGGACATTTAGGTTGCTTCCATGTCCTGGCTATTGTAAATAGTGCTGCAATGAACATTGGGGTACACGTATCCTTTCGTATTATGGTTTTCTCCAGATATACGCCAGGAGTGGGATTGCAGGATCATATGGTAGCCTCATTTTTAGTTTTTTGAGGGACCTCCATACTGCCCCTCATAGCGGCTGTACCAATTTACTTTCCCATGAACAGTGTAGGAGGGTTCCTTCTTCTCCACTCCCGCTCCAGCATTTATTTGTAGACTTTGATGATGGCCATTCTGACTGGCGTGAGGTGATACCTCATTGTAGTTTGGGTTTGGATTTCTCTAATAATTAGCGACACTGAGCATCTTTTCATGTGCGTTTGGCCATCTGTATGTCTTCTTTGGAGAATTGTCTGTTTAGGTCTGCTCATATTTTTAGTTGGGCTGTTTGGTTTTTGTTTTGGTTTATTTTGATATTGAGCTGTATAAGCTGTCTGTTTATTTTGGAAATGAATCCCTTGTCAGTAGCATTGTCTGCAAATATTTTCTCCCATTCTGTAGGTTGTCTTTTCATTTTGTTTATGGTTTCCTTTGCTGTGTAAAAGCTTTAAAGTTTAATTAGGTCCCATTTGTTTATTTTTGTTTTTATTTCCATTATGCTAGGAGACGGATCCAAAAAGATATTGCTGCGATTTATGTCAAAGGGGGTCCTGCCTATGTTTTCCGCTAGGAGTTTTATAGTATCTGGTCTTATTTAGGTCTTTAATCCATTTTGAGTTTATTTTTGTGCATGGTGTTAAAGAATGTTCTAATTTCATTCTTTTACATGTAGCTGTCCAGTTTTCCCAGCACCGCTTTTCGAAGAGACTGTTTTTTGTCCATTGTATATTCTTGCCTCCTTTGTGGTAGATTAATTGACCATAGGTGAATGGGTTTATTTTAGTCCTGTTCCATTGAGCTATATTTGGTTTTGTGCCAGTACCACACTGTTTTGATGACTGTAGCTTTGTAGTATAGTCTGAAGTCAGAAAGCCTGGTTCCTCCAGCTCTGCTTTTCTTTCTCAAGATTGCTTTGAGAAGGTAAAGGAATATGTACATATGTTTTCATACAAATTAAAAAAAAAATTTTGTTCTAGTTCTGTAATTTGATAGGGATTGCGTTGAATCTGTAGATTGGCTTGAGTAGTATGGCTATTTTGACAATACTGATTCTTCCAATCTAAGAACACGGTATATCTTTCCATCTGTTTGTGTCATTTTCAGTTTCTTTCATCAGCATCTTATAGTTTTCCAAGTACACGTCTTTTGCCTCCTTAGGCAGGTTTATTTCTAGGTATTTTAAGACAGTTTTTAAAAAACAGATAGTTTTAAAAGAAGATGGTTTTTTTTAAGTTATTTTAAAATGACATTTTCCACAATTATACTCAGAAACATCTATATAGTATTTTGATTTAATACAAATATTACCTCTTAGCCCGTATCTTAAAGGACCATGACTCTTGAAAAATAGGCTGCATAGCAGCAGGCTGGGACAAAAACCACGCCCATCTCTCAACTCTGAAAAGCATAGAATTCCAGCTGCACCCTTCAGGTGGATGCCTTGCATCACCCAGAGTTGGATATATTTTTCAATAAGCAGACTGTGTGTGGTTGCCCTGGGGAGTGGCCTGGGCCTTGGGATTTGTAAAACCCCCCAGAATTCTACGGTGCAGCCAAGGGTGAGACCCATAGCCGCAGGACAGCCATGAGTCGAATCACAGCTTGTTCCATGTGAAATGAGATGCTTGTTACAAAAAATAAATAAGCCCCTAAATCCCAGTCCCTACATCCTGCATGTCCCTTTTAAGTGTGGGGATTCCTGAAGGAAATTTTACTTTGCCGTGGTTGCCAACAGGGAAAAAGGCTATCGTTGGCACTGACAAGGCCCCGGTGACCAAAGTTGCGAAGACTTGCAGGGTTTGGCGTGAGGCTTGTGCATGTGGTCATTAGTCTCTGGGGCTGCAGCTGTCACAGTGGGTCTGGAAGGAATGGGGCGTTTTCAGGGGTGATCAGGTTATGGAGGTGGGGACCCAAGTAGCTGCCATAGGCACTGTGGCCACCACTGTGCAGCCCAATGGGCTGTTATAAAGCATAGCGGACCCCATCCTAACAGAAACATTGTAATAACGTTTACAGTCTTAAAGTTAGTGGCCTGTAAGTAACAAAACACTGACCATCAGTCCAATCCTTGTCTGAATTTTTTCAGACTTCTAACTGGATCATACTTTAGAGTTATGCTTGATGGGACTGGCTTCAAGAAAACATTAGAAGGAGACATTCTAATTCATTTCTTATGAAGCATGTTTTATCTGTAATCTAAACGTATTAATCATGGCCCGTTCTAAACCACAAATCATCCTAGTTCAGGACGAGCTCTCAAAGCAATCAGTGGGCTATTATTAGTAGTAGGAATACGCTGACGCAAAGCTCACCACCCACACCCAGTGCAGGGCCGTGCTGGCCCTGGGGACTGTCCTGCTGGGCTCCCCTGAGCAGGCCGAGAGCAGCAGATGGGATTAAAGATGACGTGAGAGGGCTGCTGAGGGGACGGGCTGGAGGCAGCTGGGCATGACCCCTGCTTCCTGCAGCCCTGCTGGAGGTGCTGGCACCACGTGGGCAGCACGGGACAGCCTCCCAGGGGAGTCCGGGTTTCCCGTACCTGCCCGAGTGACGGCATCCCGTCAGATCCAAGGTCAGGACCCAACGAACCTTCGCCTGGGTTTCTGAGGTAGCTATCCCCAGAAGAGGAAGTAAGGTGGTATTCCCCACGGGTTCCTGTTGCCTGGCGTCGCTTCTGCGGCCAGACCAAAGCTCATGGGCCATAGGCCACTGGGCTCTGCACCCGGCAGGCGCTGGCTTCCCCAGCCCCTGTGCGTTTATGTGGGCACGAGGGGCCAGATCTCTCACTCCCCAGACCTGTGGCTTTAGCTCCTATCCACTGTGCCGGGTGCTGGGGAGACGGAGCCAATCCTGGCTCCCTTGGAGCTCACAACAGACGCCCAGCAGTTGCGCAGGAGTGGTA